CACACACTCTCTCTCTCTCTCTCTCTCTCTCTGCAGACGGCTTGCCGTTCTGCTAAGACAGGCGGAGCTATATCAGACAATCCAACGAAATAAAAATCGATCCTCTCGACTTCAACACGACTTAAAAAAAAAAAACGCTCACACCGTCCAAATATGGGACGCAATATTTCGTTATTTTAAGACCCACACCGGCTGTGGCCGGGTGCCCTAATATAACCCAGCCTATGGGTTGAACAGGGCTTTTAAGACATGTGCCCAGGTGATCCTTATCCGAATGGTAGCACTTTGTATCACCGGGTGTTCGTCGCTCATTGTAAGGTCCTGGTAGGATTGAGCGACATACATACATTCAACACAACTTAGTAACTTCTTCTTCTTCTTCGCGTTCACCAGCTGTAAAATCTGGCGGAGGTTCTGGTTGCTCGTCCACTACTGAACTGCAGTTCTGCTCCTGAACCTGAGTGTTGCGTGTGCATCAGTTTTACAGATCTCATTCTCTTGAATACAGACTGTTGGTTCCTTGCCTCTCCGGCAGATGCACTCCGACTTCAAAGGAAGCTCCCCAATTAGTCGACTCTTACGACATGCTTTTTGGGAGGCAGCGGGTCTATTCTTGTTTTCCCCACAATGGGGCCCAGGAACCCACGCGGGGGACTTAGTAACTAATTCATTTCCTCGTTCGGGTTCCGGGACCCTACTGCGGGAGAAAAGAGATAGCCCCCTAGCTCCCTGACAAGCACGTCGTAAGAGTTCACTAATTAGGGGTTTATTCTGAAGTCAGGGTGTATCTGCCTGAGTGGCAATGAATCAACAGTCTGCATACAAATGAGCCATATCTGTAAAACGGATGTGCAAGCAAAGCTCAAGTTCTGGAACAAGATTAAAGTCCAGAGGTAAACAACCAAAACTTTCCGCCGGAGTTTACAGCTGGTGAACACAAGAAGAAGAACAAGAGCTAATACATTCATTCATGGACAAAACACAGACAGACAGACACTGTTGTCAGACTTGCCTCTTGTACTTTGAATGGGATACTGGTGACTGTCCCCCGGACTTGAATTTGCCGAAACAGAGCAATATCCTGAAAACTGGCCACGTTAAATCCCAGCAGCCGACACACTTTATCCACAGTGTCCTTATGTGATGGCGCAAACTCACTCTTCTCGGCATCGTTGTCAACTCCTTGGAACTTGAGGTTCCCCAGACAGAGGACGGCAGACAGAACAGAGAACAACCCGTGAGACATTTCCTCAGTAATGCCTAGAACATTCATGGCCAGACGTAGATTGTCAAACATGGTGGAGTCGTTGACGCCGTCCAAAGCGAAGCAGCCGCTTTGGTTGAGGTAATGGTAGGACTGAGCTGGTCCTAGCATGAAGGTTTTGGCTAACTGCGGGCATGCTTGGGCAGCTGAGGTCAGCTGATAAAAGACGTGGTAGTTCCTTTCTTGTTCGCTCTGGAAGGTGATTCTGGACTGCTCCAGGAGGTAATCCTGTACGATGCAACCCTTGATCTGGGTGCCTGAGAAGCATACCTGCATGAATTTGCCGAAACGGCTGGAGTTGTCATTACGGACTGTTTTAGCATTGCCTGTGAAGTAGAAATGAGAAGACATATTTTCTAAGTGTCGTCATTTTATAAATACAATAAGGTAAGGATGCTTTTATCTATACACAAAATGGCAAGAGAAACAAACGGGCCTCTGGAACATATCACCAATTCTCTTTATGCCAAGTGGCACATGAGGCTTCAGAGAGCTGTCCTGTGCAATCTTCAGTCCAGTTTTCCATGTCAGAGATGCCGCATTCAGGTCACTCTCCATCGTTCTTCTCCGTGTTGTTTTTGGGCGCCCCTTCTTTCTTTTTCCCTCTGGAGTCCATGTCAGAGCTGTTTTGGCAGCTATATCAGGATTCATTCTCATAACGTGGCCAAGCCATTTCCATCTTCTCTTGGTTATCATACTTCTGAAACATATAGGTAAGCAGAAAAAAAGGGCAGGCAGGCATGCAGGCAGACAGAAGGAGGGACAAAGGTATGCATGAATGGACTGTCGGATGGTTAATGTGTGCATGTGCGTGTGCGTGCGCCAGTCTTTCTAAGTCCACTGGTGCTGGTTTTCAACTTCTTTTGTGGCGCCAAAGACAGGCATGGCTCATAACTAAAACACCAAATTTTTTTTATTATACTGTTTATCCTAATGTATTATTATGTGCATTTTGAACCATTTCACTCAACAAATTACCAAGATTCTGAATGTCACTGCCGTTCAACTCCACTAGGACCGCACAACGAGAGACAAACACTGGGTTACACAAAGTACCGCCATTCGACGAGATCCCCCGGGCATTAGTGCCAGAAACCTAATTCAATTGTTAGGTTATATTAGGGCCCCCGACAAAAGCCGAGATGGGGTTTTAAAGTAACAAACAAATGCGTCCCATATTGGGGCCGGGTTATATTCTGAATGCCAGAATTATAGCAAAAGTATGTTCTTTTCAGTAGCTATGCGTTTGTTCTTGTTGCTTTTTTTTAAAACAGAAAAGCGCCATCGGATAACTATACGTTTCTTTTCTGACCAGTTTATTATTGTTATACACAGAGCAATTGACTTGAGGAACGACCCAGTCTAGATCTTATACATAATTAATAAAATAATTTTTTATCTATGTAGATCTTATACTAGAAAATGTACTGTGAATAAAAGTGGGTGATGTAATACTGACCACATGACCGATCGACTGCCGATGGGTCTACAAAAATAGGTTCTAGCACCATATATCCGATATCGTTGTCCAATTCTACCATGACAACGTAAAACCCAGATCCCAATTAATGTTCTGAGATACCCTAATGCATAAAGTTCTGCTGCTTCTTCACATTCGCAGGCTGTAAACTTCAGCGAAGAGTGCTGGTTGTTCGTCCACTTTTGGGTGCAACACAGTTTGAAAAACCCTGGTTTAGTGTTTTCTCATCTCTCCCGTCTCCGGCGTATCCTCTTGCATGTTTGATAATCAATATCCATTAATTCATTAATCCCACAGCTCAATCAGGCGGCATAAACACGAGCATTTTTGTATCTGCATCAGAGCTTCTCAAACAAGGGGCAAACGGGTTTGGCGCCAGTGAACTACACACGACAGAAAGATTTCTATAAAGTGATTTAGACAGTTGATAAAGAGGCCGGACCAGCCATGGACCAGGCTGATATACTGAATGCGCTAAGAGAGTTAAGATGTTTGCGTGAACCAACTGAGAACTGTGAATCTACAAGCATAGTCACACTGCAAGAACAACATGTTAAACGGGGTGTCGCCAAACAAGAACACTACTCGGGTAGCCAAAGAAGAATAATAAACCAACATTGAACTGGTGTCGTTAGCCGCTACACGCTGCGGGATTTACTGAGCAGGGGATCCGAGCACTTATGGGCTGAGTGGTTCGACGTGCAATGAGGATAATCTGTCGACTAACTAACTAACTAACTAACTAACTAACTAACTAACTAACTAACTAACTAACTAACTAACTAACTAACTAACTAACTAACTAACTAACTAACTAACTAACCAACTAACTAAAGAGGCCACAAAGCTTATAAATAATAACATTAGTCTCTATCTACGTTACAGCCAGGTTTAAGTTACGTCAGAACAATTGTCTCTGGGTACGTCTATTTCCAGATAAAGTAGAGATGCCATACACATCTCACAATACTGGGCACCACTGAACATTTCTTCTTCTTCTTTTCCCTTTTCTCCTTTTTCACCTTCACTTTTTTCTCCTCCATTACCTCTCGTTCTTCTTGTTATCTTCTTCTCTTTACGTCCACCGGCCATAAATACCGTTGGAAGGAAAGTCTGATTATTCGTCCACTTCTGGACTTTAGTTTTGCTTACACGGTTTTATAAATCTGGCTTATTTGTATGCACACTGTTGCTTCATCCACACACACACACACACAAATACCCTTAACCAGTCGATATTTACGACATGCTTGAAGGGCGCCAATTTTTTCTCCCTTCTGCTGCTACTACTGCTTTTTCTATTCCTTCCTTTTTTCTTCTCACATTTTTATCTAATTTTCCTTTATTGTTGCTTTGCTCTTCTTCCTTCCTACAAAGAAGATAATAAATCTGGCAATATTTCGCTTTATTTACATTTACAAGGAAAAGCTTTTTTGAAACTACTCTTAAATGTATCTATTCATTACAGAAGCAACTGTTTGTTAATTGCAGCTATTTATTTGCTATAAAAGTGGTCACATGAGTGGTACAGGTATTTTTGTATTCCACAAGTCGGATACATAAAGCCAATGTTTGGGGACCTCTTATGTAAACCAACAAATTGTAGGTTCCGGCGCTTAATGCAACACGGTGTTGTCCCAGTTATTGATCCGGTAGCAACACAAGATATCGACCCTCAAGACACGGCTCGCGTCACTGCCGGCGGATGCCACGAAAGAGTGCGCGGCTGCGCGTATGTGCAAGCGTTATTTTAACTTTCAGTGGCTTAGCGGGGAGCCTCAAGAGAATCGGTACACGTTTATGAACACCTAGCAGACATTTAGTGTTGTGAAGGAAACAAGCGAACCAACCAACTTTATTTTCAAAGGGTCACAAATAGGGCGAGTGAGAAGCAACAACGAAATTCATAATCTGTTCAAACCACCACTGATTACTGACATCAGGAGAGCTAATAGACTGAAATGGTTGGGGTATATTGAAAGAATGTCAGATGACAGAGAGGTAAAAACTGTATACATAAGGGAGATGAATGGTCGTAGACCACGAGGCAGACCCAGAAGAATATGGAGAGATAATGTCCAGACAGACCTGCAAACACCTGGTGTCACCAACTGGAAAGAGAAGGCCAACTAGAGAGATTAATGGAGGCGTGTGATATCTGCAGCAATGAAAACCTTATGGGCTCGGAATGCTGAAGAAGAAAAAGTTATAGTTTTGAGTGTACACACTGACAGAGAGACAACACCTCTAACTTACCAAATGCCTCTAGCACGGTGTTGGCCTCCAGAATCTGCTGCTCGGTCCAAAAGGAAGTATGGTTGGTCACTGAACACAGGTACTGCAGGATGAACTTTGTCGTCTCCGTCTGTTGATGAGTGTGACAAACGTGAGTGGTTTTTTGTTTTGCAGGAGAAGGAAAAGGTGGGAGGAAAGAAAAGGAGGAAAGCAGAGAGTCTGAGTTACAGCAGACAGACAGACAAACGCACCGATGGACGAACTTGTTAAAACTTAGTTGTGTATCGTTTACAGGGCTTTGCAGAGCCAACCCAGCATTTTTTGGCTGTTGTGATTTTTCTACGCCAATTTTATGCTCAGTAGTTTGCCACTGTTTTCTGGAAGATCAGCTCTCAGTACCACAGTCAAAACTAACGCAAGACTATCGCAGCTGGGATCGAACCAGGCATTAGGAAGCGCCTTCGCTTCGCTACAGACTTGTACACACAGATAATCACACAGGCCCAAACTAAATTGACGAAGATGAATTAAATGAATCCACATTTATGATCCTTCTCTCTCTCTCTCTCTCTCTCTCTCTCTCTCTCTCTCTCTCTCTCTCTCTCTCTCTCTCTCTCTCTCTCTCATCTTTCCCCAGGTTTCTTCATGTCTCATTCGACATTTTTCATCTCTTTCTTCTCCTTTCTCATACAGTCCTTCTAGATGTCTCCGTCCTGAAGTGGTCTCGCCGTTTGCCTTATGCTCTGTAGATCGTGCGTTCGATTTACGGCTGCGTCGTTCGATTTACTAGTGCAATATTTTACTGAGATCCACAAGAAGCGTCGTCGCAGCTGCAGAGTTCTAAGATTTGCGTGACGCTGTCGGCAGGTGGCTAGCCAGTCTTCAGAGAGAGACCGAGCCGTTTGGGATAAAACCCGATGCAACGAAGTCGATCCTCTCAACTTTAACTTAACACACGTCCTCTCTCTCTCTCTCTCTCTCTCTCTCTCTCTCTCTCTCTCTCTCTAGTTTTGACATGCATGTATGCGTGTATGAATGCGTGTATGCGTGCGTGTATGCGTGCGTGTATGCGTGCGTGTATGCGTGCGTGTATGCGTGCGTGTATGCGTGCGTGTATGCGTGCGTGTATGCGTGCGTGTATGCGTGCGTGTATGCGTGCGTGTATGCGTGCGTGTATGCGTGCGTGTATGCGTGCGTGTATGCGTGCGTGTATGCATGTATGTATGTATGTATGTATGTATGTATGTATGTATGTATGTATGTATGTATGTATGTATGTATGTATGTATGTATGTATGTATGTATGTATGTATGTATGTATGTATGTATGTATGTATGTATGTATGTATGTATGTATGTATGTATGTATGTATGTATGTATGTATGTATGTATGTATGTATGTATGTATGTATGTATGTATGTATGTATGTATGTATGTATGTATGTATGTATGTTTGTATGCATGCATGCATGCATGCATGCATGTATGTATGTATGTATGCGTGCATGCGTGGGTGGGTGGGTGCGTGGATGGGTGGGTGCGTGGGTGCGTGCGTGCGTGTGTATGTATGTATGTATGTATGTATGTATGTATGTATGTATGTATGTATGTATGTATGTATGTATGTATGTATGTATGTATGTATGTATGTATGTATGTATGTATGTATGTATGTATGTATGTATACATTTACCATCCATGCTTTTGTGTCTTATTTATAACATTCATGTTATGTGCATTGTACATGAATATATCATGGATTAAAGATAAAAAATAACTGCTTCGTGAAAGATGAGTGTTAAGAAGGGCCAAAATAAGACGCGCATTTGTGCCCAAATTGTGACACTCTGAAAAATAAAGTTCGCTGGTTCGCTCTTTCACAACACAGTCACACAAGCAGGCCCTATCTAGCTGCTCTTGTCCATCCCACCGTAGACAAAACGCTGTCAAATGGGCCGTGGCTCTGCCCTCAGTGACCTGGTCTTATTAGGTGCCTGGTTCAAGTTGTTATTCCCTACCGCTTGTCTAAAGACGGCAAATTACAGCATCCATCAGGTCCACATATGTGCAACCAGTCTCTTCAGAATGGTTCCTAAGTGGACGTGGTGATGTCAATTAAGTGCTTGTGTTTGTTTACAATATACGAGGATAAGAGGATGAGATAGTAGGGATAGGGACAGAGAAAGGGGAGAGAGAGAGAGGAGACAGACATAAGAAAAGCACGTCTTCCCGACCACCTTTATGTAAAGTAAAGTAGGCACCCTTCCTTTCCACGCCTTGCCTTCATGCGTATTGGGCACACAGGGCTAGACCTATATTTCACAGACCAATCGGCACTTGGTGGCTGATGTGGTCAACACAACGCTGGCCGCCTATACATCCCAGAACTTCACCAGGTACCCACTTAAGGCTGGGTCGAATTGGAATCCAATGTCATTTTTGAAAAACAGTCTGGTACCGTCAGGACCCGAACCATATTAGAGATGGAGAAAGCTGGGAAAACACAGGCACTGAGAGAAGGCAGAGATACAAACTTGCAAATACAAGCTGAAAAGTTCATCAGTATGCCAGATCACCCGATGGAAAATAGATTTAAGAACCTAGCCTTGGGACGGTTAAAAAGAAGCAGCTTTATACACCAAACAAAAAGAATATGTAGACAAACTCTTGACCTTCCAGAAATTGGTTGCCCACTTAAAAGAATTCCGGAACAAACCCCATGGAGAGAAAAATGCAAACTAACGGTACAAATCCAGACAAATGTGAAAGAGATATTTGACAAGAAAGAGCAAGATAGTGTACAACGCAGAATGGCCACCCTCAGTTATATTGATGAAGAATACCCACAAGAACAATGGGTCAAAGTCTATACAGATGGGTCCGCAAAAAGTGCAGTTAGAAATGGTGGTGCTGGAGTGTACATCGAATTCCCAGATGGTACTAGGGATAAGTCCAGCGTACCAACCGGGAAGTACTGCCATAACTATGAAGCAGAAACTCAAGCTATCAAGATAGCAACAGAGAAACTGATAAATACCAATCTTGTCTCACAGTATGTGGTAATGCTGACAGATGCTAAATTAGTACTTGAAGCACTCTAGTCTAGGAAACTACCAGAATTGCAAACAACTCAGCCTTCAGCGAAGAGTCGTAATGCAGTGGATACCGTCTCATTGTGGAGTGCCTGGAAATGAGAAAGCTGATCAACTGGCAGGGGAAGGTGCGACAAAAGAGCAGCCGGATGTACCAGTCACATACCACCAAAAGAAAAGAATCATTAAATCGATCAGGAAACCACCAGCCCTAGCACAAGACGACTATTTTATTATGGACAGACCAGAACAAGTCATTATCCTCCGCCTCAGAACAGGGCACAACCGATTACGTAACCACATGTACACAAAATTCAAGATAGGTGTATCAGCCATATGCACCTGTGGAAATGTGCCCCAGACAGCAGAGCATGTACTCCAGGACTGCACAGATTTTGACACATTGAGGCAAACTTTTTGGCCAGAAAGAACAACAGTGGAACGTAAACTCTATGGACCACTGAATGAACTAACAACGACAGTGAAATTTATACAAGAGACAAAATTGCTGATATAGACAACTTATTTCAGGCGAACGAAAGAAGAAGAAGAGAAGGACCCGAACCCACGACCTTCCGATCCGTAGGCGAGCGTCTAGCAGCCACACCACGACGACTTACCTATATAACCAGACCATAACTAATTTCCCAAGCGAATATACTACCCGTTTCTTATATTTTATGTCGGTGTCTGTGGCTTAGGCGATGTCGGGTTCAGTCTCAGCTGCGGGCGATTTGGCAGCAGACCAAGTTGCGTTGGTTTCGACAGTAGTATCGATAGCCGACCGTTAGGTATTTATTGGCAAACTACTGAACACAAACACTGACTAGTGGAATCACTAACACTGCCTAGTGGAATCACAAACACTGACTAGTGGAATCACAAACACTGGCTAGTGGAATCACAAACACGGCCTAGTGAAATCACAAACACGGCCTAGTGAAATCACAAACACGGCCTAGTGGAATCACAAACACTGACTAGTGGAATCACAAACACTGACTAGTGGAATCACAAACACTGCCTAGTGGAATCACAAACACTGACTAGTGGAATCACAAACACTGACTAGTGGAATCACAAACACTGACTAGTGGAATCACAAACACTGACTAGTGGAATCACAAACACTGACTAGTGGAATCACAAACACGGCCTAGTGAAATCACAAACACGGCCTAGTGAAATCACAAACACGGCCTAGTGGAATCACAAACACTGCCTAGTGGAATCACAAACACTGCCTAGTGGAATCACAAACACTGCCTAGTGAAATCACAAACACTGCCTAGTGGAATCACAAACACGGCCTAGTGGAATCACAAACACTGCCTAGTGAAATCACAAACACTGCCTAGTGGAATCACAAACACGGCCTAGTGGAATCACAAACACTGCCTAGTGAAATCACAAACACTGCCTAGTGGAATCACAAACACGGCCTAGTGAAATCATAAACACTAGCTAATGGAATCACAAACACTGCCCAGTGGAATCACAAAAAATGCCTAGTGGAATCACAAACACTGCCCAGTGGAATCACAAAAAATGCCCAGTGGAATCACAAAAAATGCCCAGTGGAATCACAAAAAATGCCCAGTGGAATCACAAAAAATGCCTAGTGGAATCACAAACACTGCCTAGTGAAATTATAAACACTACCTAGTGGAATCACAAACACTGCCTAGTGAAATTATAAACACTACCTAGTGGAATCACAAACACTGCCTAGTGGAATCACAAACATTGCCTAGTGAAATCACAAACACTGCCTAGTAAAATCACAAACACTACCTAGTGGAATCACAAACACTGCCTAGTGAAATCATAAACACTAGCTAATGGAATCACAAACACTGCCCAGTGGAATCACAAAAAATGCCTAGTGGAATCACAAACACTGCCCAGTGGAATCACAAATAATGCCCAGTGGAATCACAAAAAATGCCCAGTGGAATCACAAAAAATGCCCAGTGGAATCACAAAAAATGCCCAGTGGAATCACAAAAAATGCCTAGTGGAATCACAAACACTGCCTAGTGAAATTATAAACACTGCCTAGTGGAATCACAAACACTGCCTAGTGAAATCACAAACAGCCAAACAATGCTAGGACTGATTCTGCAACGTCCTGTAAAGCAAGCACGTCAAACATGCGGCCCTTTGCAGTCAAACCTGCAGCCCCCAATTAAAATATTTTGCAATAATCTGTTTTAGATGAATTCAAAAAGCTGTCATGTCTGGCTCCTGATGACAACACAAATATCACAAGAGCTCTTTTGGTGTCGAATTGTTACATTTTTGTTCTGCAGAACTGGTGAATCGTGTCAAATGATTTGACCAGAAGTGACAGTACGTATGGAATAACCAATAAACTTTGGGTGAGTCGGTGGATTTTAAACAATAACAAAAATGAGAATATACCAACCTTGCCGGCGCCGCTCTCTCCGCTGATGATGCAACTCTGGTTGACGTTGGTGCCGTGTAGACTCTGGTAGGCCGCCTCAGCTATGGCAAAGACGTGTGGCTCCACTTGACTGAGCTTCTGGCCGCTGTAGGCGCTGACGTTCTTCTGCTCGTAGCAGGTGAGTTCCTTATAGGGGTTGACGGCCACCAGGATGGAGCCTGTGAAAGTCTGCCACTGAGTTAAGGAAATGCCAACACATTTGTTTTGACTGCAGACAAGAGGACAACTATCAAAACGTTATTATGTAAAGGTATGGTAGCGAGTGAAATTAGTCCCCAGCAATAAAGCGCGTTCGAGTAAATAATAAAACTATCAGATAATTTAAGGGAACGACACCTTGTACCAAATTCACCCAGAAACAGCAGATCAAATGGTCTGGCTATATTGTTAGAATGCAGCAAGATCACATACTATCACAAGCACTACATCTCAGAAGATCAGCTATAAGAGCAAAAGGAAGACGGCGGAAATATGGATCGACAACATTAAAGACACTCTACGCCTTCATGGCATGACAACAGCCAGTGGCAGCCAGCGTGCATTGGATCGCAAACTATTCCTCCCACAGCGCTTAACAGCAGAAATGGTTTATGGTGATGATGAGATGATGAATAAAGCGCGTGGTAACTTTGGCAGCCAGTGAAATTTACAAACTCAAGCAGCAGCGACAGAACCGGGGTGCTTATGTATCTTGAGGTACCCCCCCCCCCCCCCCCACTTTCAATGTTAGGGAGGGAACAAGATACCTGTCCCCTTACGCGTCCCTTCCCCGCCAAACTATGCATAGAAATTACTGAAATTATTTGTTCTGTTTATACATCAAGAATAGTATTTGGGTAAATTATCATCATCATGTGCCTTGCCAGCTGGCACATGCGTTCATGCGTTGCCACAGATCTCGGTCTTTTGTGTTCTGGATCAATTCTACTGATGATATTCCTCCACGCCACTGTCTTGAGCCAGCCACCACCACTTCTCTTGGTCTGCCTCTGCCTCTTCTACCAGTGATCTTTCCAGTCGTCACGATATTTTCCAGTGCTCCTGTTCTCATCACATGACCAAAGAACTTTATTGGTCTCCTTCTCATTGTTGTATATAATGTTGTACTTTCATTAGACATTTCCAGGCATTCAATGTTGGTTATTCTGACAGTCCAAGGTATTCTCAACATTCTTCACAAGAACCACATCTCAGTTGCCTCCAAACTGTTCTTAATTTGTTTGCTCACATTCCAAGACTCCCTGCCATAAAACAGAATAGGCTCGGTATAACATTTCAATACTCGTCTTCTGATGTTTAATAAGAGTGATTTATCACATAAGACTTTTCATCTTCTGAAGAGTTGCCTTTGCCTGGCCAATTTTGCTCTTAATTATATTGTATATTAGAATATTTTAAATTCAGCATTAGTATTATTATTATTATTATTAATTCATTCATGGTCTTATGAACGCCCCCCCTTCACCCAGATATCTGTAAGGCGACTGAGCGCCCCCCCCCCTTGCCACCCCTATTTTTTTCTCCTTTCTGCCAATGTTTTTCTTGGTGTTAGAGATCCCAAACACACGTATGTGTGTATAGCCCTGTCCCACACATGTACAGCCATGTACCACACATGTACAGCCATGTACCACACATGTACAGCCCTGTACCACACATGTACAGCCTGTACCACAAATGTACAGCCATGAACCACAAATTTACAGCCCTATATTACAAATGTACAGCCCTGTACCACACATGTACAGCCCTGTACCACAAATGTACAACCCTGTACCACAAATGTACAGCCCTGTACCACAAATGTACAGCCCTGTACCACAAATGTACAGCCATGAACCATAAATTTACAGCCCTATACTACAAATGTAAGCCCTGTACCACAAATGTACAGCCCTGTACCACAAATGTACAGCCCTGTACCACAACTATACAGCCCTGTACCACAAATGTACAGCCCTGTACCACAAATGTACAGCCCTGTACCACAAATGTACAACCCTGTACCACAAATGCCCAGCCCTGTACCACAAATTTACAGCCCTGTACCACAAATTTACAGCACTGTACCACAAATGTATAGCACTGAATCCCAAATGTACAACCCTGAACCACAAATGTACAACCCTGTACCACAAATTTACAGCTCTGTACCACAAATTTACAGCCCTGCACCACAAATTTACAGCCCTGTACCACAAATGTACAGCCCTGTACCACAAATACCCAGCCCTGCACCACAAATGTACAGCCCTGTACCACAAATGTACAGCCCTGTACCACAAATGTACAGCCCTGTACCACAAATGCAATGCCCTGTACCAAAAATGCCCAGCCCTGTACCACAAATGCCAGGCCTTGTAACACAAATGTACAGTCCTGTACCACAAATGTATAGCCCTGAACCACAAATGTACAGTCCTGTACCACAAATGCACAGCTCTGTACCATAAATGACCAGCCCTGTACTACAATTGTACAGCCCTGTACCACAAATGTACAGCCCTGTACCACAAATACATGTCCACCCATACATGAATCTACCCTCATAAATTCACATATCTCTGCTGCATATTAATGCGCTCGGTCCGAAGTGTCCTCTGGGTAGTTTCGAAAATAATTACAGCCATCGTTTCGGTGGCCACTTATCACGGTATTTTCCATCTCTTGTGTCCTTGTATAATGTCTATGATTGGGCACTACACGTACAGGCTGGCCGATGCCACAACTTATTGCTGACGCTCTGTCTGTAGTGTGTGTTTGTCTGTGTATATCATCACTTACTAGTGGGCGCTGAGAACGACCGATATATTGTCAATTTTATCTTCTACTTTCTTTTCGCCAGTCTTTTTCTACTTCTTTATTTCCCTTCTTTTTTTTCTTCTCATCATCCTCGCTCTTCTTCTCATATGTCTTCTTCTTCTTTCTAATTTTTCACCTAATATATTTCAATATATATTGTTACTCATTCTAACCAATCTATTCCAGTCATTATCATAACTACAAACGTGGACACCTACATCCTCTAATGAACGTAAAATTGTGACAACAGAGATGAAATGCCTTAGAAGAGCTGCAGGAGTTTCAGGGAAAGACAATACGAAATCAGACGAATACTAGGAATAAAGCCAGTCTTACAGGTTATCAAAGAACAACAAATGAAGAGGTTTGGACACCTAACAAGAATGCCCTGGTACTATCTACCACAGCGAGCCACACTGAAACGTCACAACGGGAATAAAGCGAGCGGAAGACCTCGGAAAATATGGAATGATGGCATTAAGAACAGCCTTTCAGAAATGAACATCAATCTCAATAGTGCTCTTGACAGAGCGCCCCCCCCCCCCCCCCAGTCAATAGCATAACTCCTTCTAACCAATCTATTCCCGTCGTTTATCATAACTCCTTCTAAACAATATATTCCAATCCTTACATTGTTACTCCTTCTAACCAATATCAATATATCCCAATCATTATGGTAACTCCTGCTGCCACAGACGTACAACATCATACCCATGCTTGCAACGATGGATGCAGACGAGCGCTATAAGTGCCTAAGACACAGTCGGTTGCCCTAATGCTAGAAGAAGAACAAAACTTCAGCCCACAACCACTCGGCGTGGCCAGGTCTGGTAAAGCGAATTCTGCAGAGGTGGATCGATAATGCTCCAGTGATGACGGTGCTAAGGGTGGAGGCGGATGAGAAGTGGCCGACGCAGACAGCAAATTAGCAGCAAGCAGTACTCTGTAGAATGGAAAGTATTGTGGTGTAGCGGCTAGACGCCCGTCTGCCTATTAGAAGGTCGTGTGTTTAAATACGAAAGAAGACGGACTTTTTTCAAAAACGATTTTGCCTCCTAATCTGACGCAAAATTTTGAAATGCAAACATGTGAATATGAACTCTTTAAAAACAATGTTCAGCACACTATTCTTACCAATGCTATACAATCAATGTCAATCATGGACACTGTCTTCAGAAGACGAAGGAAAATAGTCACGACAGGAATGAAATATTCACTTGCTACGCAAAAGTTAACGAGGAAAGATCGACTTAGAAACGATGATATCAGGAGGAGAGTCGGCACAGAACCAATACTGAACTTTTATATGCAGACAACAAATAAAATGGTTCGGGCAGGTAACAAGACTGGCATCCGACAGCGCACCATAGAGAGCAATATTATACAGATACTCCAACAGAACCAGAGGTCGACCACTCAGAAGATGGACCTCAGAAATAACAAAAACACGAAGCGATCAAAAGGACCCGTTTCAGAGATCTCTTCCTACCCTGACGCCGCTATGCATTCCAGGGGTAGAGAAAAGAAGAAGAAAAAAAAGAGGAAGAAAGTTGTCCCAGCCTTAAATGGGTACCAGGAAGAAGTTGTCCCAGCCTTAAATGGGTACCAGGAAGAAGTTGTCCCAGCCTTAAATGGGTACCAGGTAAAGTCATGGAGAGTAAAGGCGGTCGGTGTAATGCTGACCATATCACCCACCGACTGCCGATTGGTCTCTAAAATATAGGTATAGAATTAGATGCTCAATACACCCAAAAGCGTGGAAAAGGGCCCTTAAAGTTTTACTTTTACATTTTAGAATAGTCATGCCGCCTAAATCTAGGTCTTTGTCTTTTTGTTTGCCACTGAGCTGACAGGATGGTAGAACAGTCAGTGGTTACACCATAATTAGTACAGGGCACCCATAAAAAGCTGCATTACAATTATTTCGTTTTCCTTTCACGCGATCGCCATTGAAAAGGCACTTGGCAAGCTGTGTTGTGGTTAACAGATAGGCTGTGATATCTGCGCCTTTCGGTTTAACATATACTTCAGCAAAACTATTAATTAGTCGCCTCTTAGGCACGGTGCCCCGAAGCCCACACGAGGCGTAACAATTACGTAAAATGCTATATGGCTCTGAAACACGGAGCACAACTATCTAACTAACAGAGATGAAGCCTTATTGCAAATTTTTGAGAACAGACTTGCGATGAATCTTTGAACCCATCAAAGATGCAAACAGCGGAGAATGGAGAGTGAGAATCGACAACAAAATTCATAATCTGTTTAAATCACCATTGATCCCTGGCATCATGAGATCTAATAGACTGAAATAGCTAGGGCATATTGAGAGAATGTAAAATGACATGAAGGTAACAACTGTATAC